CCTAAAGCTCGAATCACGTCCAAAGCAGTCAAAAGAATAGGCTTCATCAGTTCAACACTCGGATCGGACGTGGCAGCAATAATGCTCTTGTGCAGTTATGACTGTTTCCATAGTTAAGCACCCCAGAATACATAGAAATATTTGCCTTCAAATGTATTCCATTTTACGATTGAGGGGGCGAAAGGGTATCTTGGTGACTGGTCAACGGGAACCGCTGATTTATAGCTGTTGATGAAGTATTCCATTTCTAGGGATTACTACCGAGGGGATCGTCTGTATTTGAATTAAATGGCAGAAATCCTTTGACAATGTCAGCGATGCTAAATTCATTAAAGACTTCTACACTCTCAGTCATTTCAGCCATCAGCTTAGGGTATTTGAACCATCCAATCAATTCCAGACTAAACCACCTAAACTTGGGTTGTTCTTCATTACACTGAATTCCTTCTCTCTCTCTCTCTCTCTCTCTCTCTCTCGGATATATCGAATTTGGAGAGTTCTCAACGATAAGGTTTAGCGTGGAAGATTAGGTGTCGTCTTGGTTTTGGATTCCATAATGACCACATAGCTGAAGACGCATTAACAATTACAGTAAATCCTGTCCTAAATGTCCCTCTCATCGATGATATCCTGCTATATATGATACGTACCGGGTCCCCAGTCAAAAGTTAATAAAGGAATGATAATGCTGCCAAACGCTATGCTTGATACAATATTTTCAGAGTTTGATACTAAAACAAATATATTATAGGTGTTAAAAAAGCATCTCATCATTCAAAAAAAATGTAGTAAAAGTCTTAGTCATCGATGTATCCTTTTCCAATTTTAGTTGCTCACGAATCCTGCTTTGGAGAAAACGAAGGTCTTTCATTAGCTTGTCCTCCATGTCTGGATGGTCAGCAGGCATGAAGATAACACTGTGAACTGCGTTTCTTATCTGTTGAGTGTTTTATCTCGTAGGCAGGCTGCTATGTATTATCTTCGATGCCTTTATCGGGCTCGTGGGACTCACCAGACGACGTCCAAACGAACAAAACGTCCGATGACACGTCCAATAAGCCCCCCGGCGAGATTGTCTCCATTTCTATTTGCTGCTCGCTCGGGTTGCAAACGAATTCCTCGATGTCCATCATATCACGAACTCTCAATCGCTGTTCAGTGACCTTGATCGTCGTACTTCTCGGTTATCGTCCCGGACGTTGAGGTAGTGACCGCTTTCCCTGAGGATTGCAGAGATGGTTCCTTACATAGTTTAACCAGAGCAAGTTCACGTTCTGCCCCTTTCAGATACCTGCAGCCCGAAAAACCTCGTTT